AAAAAGGGGGGGGGGGAGGAACCATTCCATGTTAATGTTCTAACTTCTAAATAATCCAGCAGCAATTGTTTCTTAAAACTGCCCTGTGATTTCAAATGATGCTGGTAATAGTCAGTCACTTCTTTCGTAAATTAGAGGACAAACAAGCAATCCAAATTGACTAGGTAAAAGATACTCCCAAAAGGTGGATAAATCAAGTATGTACTTGATATTGATGTGATCATTTGTTTTGGTCCAAGGATTGTTAAATAACTCAGTCCAATGCCAACGAAAAGGACACAACGTGCGTCCCTCTAATAACAACCAAACCTACGAGCCTATGCCCAACCTAACACATATTAAACCAAACCCACAATGTAGAAAAGATTAAAACCCCAAAATCCAGATCTGAACCAATACCCCAAACTGCAGATCCAGACCCTGAGATTTCAAGCACCAACCAGACATCCCAAGTCCAAAAAACAGACACCTTCGGTCTAATGCATTAATCACAAGGCCAAGCCCAAGAGGAACCATTTTCCATGACAAACAGTCGACTCATCGAAGAAGACAGTGACATCACTAGTTTATCCAAGAAACTTATTGTATTGAAGTACCCCTAAAAGTAGCTCCTTTGCTTATGTAAACAATATGGAAAGAGAAGAAAAGTGTTCGAAAAAGTAGAGAATAACCATGTAAAAGTTAGTACAATGTTTTTGTTTTTAGTATATTTTTAAAGCACATATGATAGTAGTCCCTCGTAGAGAATAATATTCTTTTGCAAGAGCCTCTACCACTCTCCACATCTTGTATATCAGGATTCTCATTATATGAATAAATTAATACTTCATAAAAGATATATCGTTGAAGGCTTTTCTTTTGCATAGAATAACAAAGTGACATAGAATGATATGCATTCAAAGGATGCATTTACCTATCAAACAATATTTCAAAGGATGTAAATAGCTGATTAATAGAGCTCTGGACAGGAACTTGGCAACTTACGTTTTTAAGTCCAGAGATGACAAATCATCAATTGAAGAATGTTTCTTCTCTGAAGACTCTGCAATGAGATCAAAGAAAAGGACATCAGCAAGCAAAATCATCAGAAGACAAGAACGGATGGAGAAATTTATTAAGCACAACCTGGAAATAAGAAATGACAAGAGATACACAGGATATTTAGCAATGAAATAATTATGCTGATTAACCATTAATTCGAAGAGCCGAATGACTCATGTAAAGAAAGACAGCTCAACTTGTTTTACAAAACATCATCAAGTTCATAATACTCTTTTATCCTAAAATATTTGTCCCTATATCCTGTATGGGATGTCCAACATAGTGTCGCACTTCCGAATAAGATTTTTTTCATTCAAAAACTAGCCTTCACCACAGTATGTCCTTTATAAGACAGGTTTTAGTTCAAGTGAGTAAATATAAGAAAAAACGTGGCTACTTTTTAAATTGAGTGAAAAAGCAAAAGAATGACGGAAAAAAAAAAGAGATGGATAGAGTAGTACTCTGATATGGGAGGTCATTTTTTACTGAGAAAGAATTGTAAGAACCTGATTTAGATGTATCCGGATTTAGAAATGCTGGTGTAATGCTTCTTTTGCTAATGGCATTGATGTATGCTGGAGCTTTTGGAATCCAGCAACTGTTTTGTGCTGGTGCAGTATCAGTTTGTTATGTTCTTCTTTACTTATCCGAAAAAAGGGATAGGAGTAAAGAAGAAAATAAGGCATGCAGTGTAAGTTTGAAAGAAAAGATTTGGCTAAGGAGAGAGAGAGAGAGAGAGAAAGGGAGGGAGGGAATAACCCACATGACAAAAGAGTATTCTAAACGCGTGAAACTAGGCTACGAGAAGTATACAAAACCAAAGAAAAGTATGATTTCAGAAATCATGTGCAAAACTTTTGGTTTCCCTTAAGTAGTCCCAACACTTTGTAAAGTTTCCACTTCTATAACTTTCCCACTATATTATATGTAACGACCCGGCCGGTCGTTTTGAGGGTAATAGCCCCGATCACCTATTTACTGTTTTCCCCGTATCTCTTTCTGCTTATGTGACTTGCCGGGAGGTTTTGATTTTGGTTTCGGAGTGTGTTGGGACACTTAGTCCCTAAAACGGGAGCTTAAGTCTTAAGATTTTGACCGTAGTCGGAACTGTGTGAAGACGATTCCGCAATGGAGTTTCGTCGGTTCCGTTAGCTCCGTTGGGTGATTTTGGTCTTAGGAGCGTGTCCGGATTGTGTTTTGGAGGTCCGTAGCTTATTTAGGCTTGAAATGGCGAAAGTCGAATTTTTGGAGATTTGGACCGGTAGTAGAAATTTTGATATCGGCGTCGGATTCCGATTCCGGAAGTTGGAGTAGGTCCGTAATGTTGATTATGACTTGTGTGCAAAATTTGAGGTCAATCGGACGTGATTTGATAGGTTTCGGCATCGGTGGTAGAATTTTGAAGTTTCAAGTTCTTTAAGTTTGAATTGGAGGGTGATTCGTGATTTTAGTGTTGTTTGATGTGATTTGAGGGCTCGACTAAGTTCGTATGGTGATTTAGGACTGGTTGATATGTTTGGTTGAGGTCCCGGGGGCCTCGGGTGAGTTTTAGATGGTTATCGGATCATTTTTGGACTTGCAAGATTTTTCTGGTGCTGGTTCTGCTGTAATCGCACCTGCGCAAGGCAGCCCGCGGGTGCGAGCAAATTGACGCAAAAGCGGATTTGGGCAGCCTGAGCTGGAATCGCAGGTGCGAGGTTAGTTCCGCATCTGCGATACCCGCAGGTGCGAGAGAGGAATCGCAGATGCGAAGTTAGACCGCAGAAGCGCAAAGGATTTCCGCAGGCGCGCACGCACAGGTGCGGCCCTTTATCGCAGGTGCAGAGGCAGAGGGGAGGTAAGTGATTTGCGCAGATGCGCACATTTTCCGCACAAGCGCACCCGCAGGTGCGAGCCCAGACTCCGCAGGTGCGAAAATACCTGGGCAGTGCATAAAACCGAAGAGCTCGTGATTTTTGTCATTTTGGACTTTGCAAACTCGGTTTAGGGTGATTTTTGAGAGCATTTTCGAGAGATTTCTTGAGGTAAGTCCCTTATGCTTATTTTTGATCAATAATCTTGCTTCCCCATTTATTTTTCCACCTAGTTAGTGTGTATTTAAGGTGTAATTTGGGAGTTTGATACTGGGGATTTGGAAAGTTTGATTTGAGGATTTGAAGGACCATTTGGTATCGGATTTTAGTAAATTTGATATGGCTAGACTCGTGAGTGAATGGGCTTTCGGATTTTGTGACTTTTGCCCGATTGCGAGACGTGGGCCCGGGTCGACCTTATAAGACGGATTTCGGAATTTTTATCTAAATTTTGATTTCATTAATTAGATTAGTTTATTGTAATTGTATTTATGATATGTAATTGTTTTGGCTAGATTTGGGCCATTCGGAGTTGGATATTCGTGGAAAAGGCATTGATACCGATTGATTGAGCTTGGTTCGAGGTAAGTGGCTTGCCTAACCTTGTGTGGGGAACCCCCCGTAAGAATTGTACTGTTTTTGATATATGAGCGTCGTGTACGTGAGGTGACGAGTACGTACACGGGCTAATTGTTTAAAAACCCAATTTTCTACTAAGTAATAACCTGATTTCTTTCCTATTTGAGTTTCATCAGCATGTGTAGTATCCTGCTAGATTAGAATAGCATGCCTACTTGCCTTAACTGTTTGCTTGAACTACGTGCAGCATGTTTAGTGAATTTACCTGTCTTTTCCTTAACTGATACTTAGGTTGAACTGTAGAATTTTGTGCCGTAAATAATGAATTCTATTGTTTTCGCTGCATATTTACTTTGGGAATACGGAACAGTATTCCGGGAGATCCCCTGTACTGCATATTTACTTTGGGACTATGAAACGGTATTCCGGGAGATTCTCATGTACTGCATATTTACTTTGGGACTACGGAACGGTATTCCGGGAGATCCTCCTGTACTGCATATTTACTTTGGGACTACGGAACGGTATTCCGGGAGATCCCCATGTACTGCACATTTACGTTTGGGACTACGAGACGGTATCTCGGGAGATCCCGTGTTGTGTTTCTGTGTACTGAGTTGTTACCTTCTATGATTTCATTCTTGTAAATTTCAGCCTTTCTTTTACTGCGGTATTACACTCTATCTTGTTTTATTATATATTTACCAGTAGGGCTGTGACCGGACCTCGTCACTACTCGACCGAGGTTAGGCTTGGTACTTACTTGGGTACCGATTGTGGTGTACTCATGCTACTCTCTGTACATGTTTTTCGCATGGAGATCCAGGTACTCCTTATCAGCCGCACTATCGGTGAGCCGGGACAGCTTTGGAGACTTCAAGGTATATTTGCCGCGTCCGCAGACCTCGGAGTTCCCTTCTACTCTTCCACATGTCCATTATCTTCTGTAGTTTTCTTTTGTTAGACTTTGATGTATAGAGACACTAGATTTTCCTTCTGTAGTTTGTGATTCACGATGTTCCGGGTTTTGGGATTTGTTGTGTATTTTTGGATAGTTGATTAAATTTATGTTTTCATTTCATTATTCCGCAAAATGTTAGGCTTACCTAGTTGCAGAGACTAGGTGCCGTCACGACGTCACATGGAGGGGAAATTGGGTCGTGACAAGTTGGTATTAGAGCTCTAGGTTCATAGGTGTCGTGAGTCACAAGCTGGTTTATTAGAGTCTCGCGGATCGATACGGAGACGTCTGTACTTATCTTCGGGAGGCTATGGAACTGTTAGGAAAATTTCACTACTTTGATTCCTTGTCGTGCGAAAATTGTTAGACTTCAAAAATTCTAAACTTCTGTATTCTATTCTCTCACAGATGGTGAGGACACGTGCAAGCGGATCAGATGAACAGGCACCCGTGCCCCTGCTAGAGCCGCGAGAGGCTGGGGTTGGGGTAGAGGCCGAGGACGTCCACGTGGTGCAGCCAGAGCACCCGCACGAGCTGCTACAGAGGAGCCCCCAGTAGCTTCAGCTGGAGGGCAAACACCTGAGGTACCTGCTTCTGCACTAGCCCTCCAGGAGACTCTAGCTCAGTTTTTGAGCATGTTCGGCACCTTAGCTCAAGTTGGATTGATTCCACTTGCTCCTGCCACATCTCAGGTCGGGGGAGGAGCACAGACTCCCGTCGCCGGTACTCCAGAGCAGCGGGTTCAGGTCGACCAGGTTCCAGAGATTGTACCAATGCAACCGGTAGCTCCAGCTCAGCTCGAGGTTAGGGAAGCAGCTTCTGAGGCGGAGCAGCTCAGACTTGAGCGGTACAAGAAGTACCACCCATCTACCTTCAGCGGATTGGCTACGGATGATGCTCAGGGTTTTCTGGAGGAGTGTCATCGTATTCTCCGTACTATGGGCGTAGCGGAGACGAGTGAGGTTTCTTTTACTACATTCCAGCTTAGAGGAACAACCTATTAGTGGTGGCGTGCTTATGAGTTGAGTAGTCCGGCTGAGGCAACTTCACTTACATGGACTCAGTTCTCGGACATGTTTTTGAGAGAGTATGTCCCTCAGAGCCTCAGGGACTCATGGCGCATGGAGTTTGAGCAGCTGCGTCAGGATGCTATGACTGTGCCAGAGTATGCAGTTCGCTTTAGTGATTTGGCCCGACATGCACCGCCTTGGTTGCCACAGTTCAAGAGAGGGTTCGACGATTTATCGAGGGACTCCATCCCAGCATCCGGATTAGTATGGCCAGGGAGTTGGAGATGAATATTTCGTATCAGCGGGTTGTGAGTATTGCCAGGAGATTGGAGGGCATGCTTGCCCGGGATAGAGAGGAGAGAGAGGCCAAGAGGTCTCGAGAGACTGGTTATTATTCTGGAGCTCGTGTCCCAGCAGCTCGCCATGATAGGGGTTATGTGAGTCGCCCCGTTCATTTAGCTCTTCCAGTCGCCAGCGGTGTTCCAGCTCCTTTTAGACCCCAGGAGCCTTATTATGCACTACCAGTATCTAGTGTGCCTCCTACTCGGGGTGCTATTAGCGGCCAGTCCAGCAGACCTGGCCCGAGTCAGTCACAACA